GGGGGGGGGGGGGGCTGCCTCATCATTACTGGCTCCCAAAGGTCTGGCCACCTAACTGTCCTCCATATGCACTCAGTCCCACCAAGTCTTCAGTAGATACTTAAAAATTAACATTGAGTGGACCCTTATTTTTAACTCTGAGACTACCTGTCCCTATGTTTCCTTTTCACTAAGATCCTACATAGCTTGTATTGTGAAGTCTCATAAAATGCCCTTTTTCAAACTTGTCACTCTCCTGGAGAGTGGCTCTTCTCTCCAGAATGGCAATTCTGTACTTCTGTCTTGCTCATTATTCCAGTAGCTGTCAGTGCCAAAAGCATTTGTTGAAAAGTGTTTTGCTCCCCTAAAGATTACAGATCAGCAATCCATTTTTAATGGTGGAAAATTTTTAAGATTAAGCCACAAAAAAAGAAAAAAGTACTTTTTAGATCACAACTTACCACCCTTCCTAACCAATGCAAACTTCATTTGGCTAAAGCCACAAGCTTTCTGTACTTTTTAACCTATTCTTCAAAAGATCTCGTTTTCACAAAGTGCTGCATATTTCCTACAGCAATCACAGCTCTCCTTCATCCTTCAGGCACGAGTGCTTATAGGTACCCACTACTGCATGCAAGTCACTCCTATACTGATGAATGATACTTGTTGCCTAATTCAGTCTCCCCTATCACTGGTCTCATGAAATCATTGTCACATCTCTACTACTCAGCTTTTAGGGGAAAGGATTCTATGTTGGGCTAGAACCAGGATGAGAATCATGGTCTAACTGAAGGAGTCTTTGCACTTTATCATTGTTGCGATGCTATTAAAAGCTCCACTAGCCTAATAACTGTGAAGTTACTGTTTTGTCCAAGCTTAGCACAAGCTAGGCATCTCTGCAGGATACACTCATGAAGGTAAGAAAATTCCTCTGATCATTCCTAAGCATGTTATAAGTAGCAGAAAGCTATAGGCAACATGACAGCTTTAAAGCTGATACACAAAGATACTTACCAGTAAATTGTGTAAGCCTCTGCTTGAGCTGGGTCTTGAATATTTGGTTCATTTAGAAGTTCCTGTATTCCTAACAAGATCTGTGGAAAAAGGAATAGAAGTAACATAAGCATGGGTATTACTAAGAGACATTCAATTAAAAAACTCTTAGAAATCAACTCTAGAAATACACAGTGAACCTCTTACATTCACATCAGATAAGCAAAGCAAATAAAAGGGCTAAGAATATGTTTAAGTACAATTAATGACCTGTTTAATTGTGATTGCTGGCCTCCAGTCCTTGTCCTCCTCTAAGATGGAGAGACACACTGTTCCTGAAGGATACACGTTTGGGTGGAATAATGGCGGTTCAAATTTACCTGATGAAGAAGAGATAATTACTTGCATGCAGCACTAAGAGTAAGATCAGAGAGTTAGTTTAGATCAGTGGGGGGAAGAAAAACAAAACAAACCAACAAACCTGGCCAAAGACACCCCTAACACACACCCCTAAAACAAACCCTGCTGCACAGATTTCTGGAGTTAGTAATACTGGTTTTCCTCCTGGCTCAGCCTACAGCTAAAGCAGGAACTCCATTGCATCTGTGATACCAAACCAGGCAATGTAACACCATCACTGTGACCAGGTATCTTCTGGTTGTAGATTGTATCAAAAAAAGAATAAATCCATGTTTTGGAGCAAGTTGATGAAACAGTTAAAGTTGATAGAACTTTAAAAATTTTTGCTAAGGTTGTGCCTTCTGAGTTCTTTGCTTAAAAGACCAACTTAACAGTAAGAACACATGAAGGGACTTGATCTAACCATGCCTGCCTATTAGTTTCCAAAGAGTGATCAAGTAGTAAACACTTCAAGTGGTGCTTTTGTCAAACTATGAGGAAAGACACACAGCAATCCTCCTCCCCTCCCAATTTTGTTATATTGAACACTTCACTTATTCCATCACAGCTTCCTAAATGCAAAGGCAGGGGGAAGAAAAAAGCAGCTTCCCTTTAAAAAAATCTGTAAGAAACTAATAAACCATTCATAGAACCTCATAGAGGAGTTTAACATTGTTCTAATAAACCATGGGTTTAAGTAATTTTACTTACATTTAGGGGGTGAGGAAGGATAATCATCCTTGAAAAGCATCCGTAGTTTAAATAAGCCTCCTTCCCATGGTGTCTATAAAAAGTTATGGCAGAGTTTAAATTACAGCAAGGATAAGTCAAACTCGTGGGAAAAAAGCTTATCACTAATACAGTTTTTCAGGCAAAGCACAAAACATCATTGTGCTACACAGCAGAAAATGCTGTTTAGACTGAGACAAGTTATCCTACCTATATAAGGAGCTGAAGAAAGAAAACTCTGCTTTTCCACTTCCTTACAGCTAGTAAGTGTTGCTGAGTCAGAGTCAGGATCATTGTCGATTTCCATACACAAGTAAAATTTCCATAGTACACAGAACAGAATACTTCCAAAATTTTACATGATACACATGCAATGAGAAAGGGGTCATTATATTCCCACTTAAAATAAGTCTGAGAAGATAGGATATGGACACACCCCTTTAGCACGTGGATGTAAATAGCTTCTATTTGCCTCACAAGAATGTAGCTAATAAAACAAAAAATGAACAAAAAAATTTGGACAGCAATATAGTACTGGTACAGTTAATAGGAGAGTCACTAGTCTAACCCTGTCTGCATCTGGTAGCAAGTAGTCTCACAGATTCCATCTTTTTGTGTAACAGAAATTCTAAGCAGCTTTTTATCCCCATCAGAAACTGGGAAAAGCACTGGTAAGAGCAGTTCCCATGCTACAGAGCAAACCAAGCAAGACAGCACTACTCAAAGGGGTCATATAACCACAGAAAAACATCTAGCAAAGGACAGAAAGCCCGTCTCCAATATATACTACCTTGTCATCTTACTTGGAAATGAGGGACAAACTCAATTCTGGTAAGAAGTATAGAAATACAAAAAAGTTTATTATATACATAAAATTCAGACCACTTAATCGCAACTTGCCCTTGCTAGGAAAATGTTGCAACAGAAGTAAGTGTTGTGTTGATTCTTTAAAACAAACTGGAATAAAGATGGTCTCACATCTTAACAGCATGAATAATCAAGTCTTATCCTCAGGGACAGACAGGTATGTTTGAAGACACCTTCGGAGGAAATCCCTAATTCTTTCTTACCTGAATTATGTGATTTTCAGCAGAAAGAGAAAGCAAAGAGGGAAAAAAAACCCAAACCACAAAACAAAAAAAACCCACCCACCCCAAAACCCCCACCCCAAACGTGTTATGGAATCCTAAGATAACCATGTTTTAAAAAGCAAGCAATTTAATTAATTTGCTATAGTCTATTTAAAGAACTTCTTCTGAACAGCTCTAATCAGTTGTCAACAACTAGAAATATCTGTTCTCCCTACGTTCTCAGAGGAGACAAACGTCCTTTTTAGAAGAGCGTTTGGATAGAATAAACTTTTCCTATTTTGTTTGCTTTCAGTCACAGGGGAAGACAAACAGCTTTTAATCATTTCTTCAGGTAGAACACCAGAACAATCAACAGTTTTTACTGTCTTTGTGACAGAGCAACATAATGGATGACATAATGGAAGACAGCAGACACTCAAAAGCTCTACTAAGTACGATAGCAGTATCATCAGTATCGATGTGTGTTACTGGACAGGTTGCAGATGTTAACTACCAACTACCTATACTTTGACTTGAAGAACAAGTGATTTGCTGTCAAAAAGTGATCAAAGATATCCAACACAGTACTAACATCACTTTACTTCAGTTTTCGATCTGGCTGACAAGAAAGCATTTTGGTGGTTTCAACCACTCCTGTGTCTCAGGAGCAGCAGTGCAGTACAGCATGCCTCCAAACACAAAGGCAAGAGAACAACTGGTTGGTCTGGTAGAGATGAGCAAGGCATGCTGCTTCTTGTTAAAGAGACAGCATTTTTACACAAGTAAAAACCATGATTTTTAAAATAAATCTCTACTGGGAATCACATGAGCATAACTGATCTTTTCCTGGTGTGATGTGTTTTCTAAGAAGCAAACAGTTGGCTTCAAGGGTCCAGTGCACTCCATTTTGTGGTTTACAAAACTTTAAAGCAGTAGCATGAAGATTTTGTATGACATGAAGATTTTACAGAAGTATTTAAAGGTGACATCTCAATAAGGTACATAATTGGCTATTATGAGGGATAATCTTGTTTTGGCAGAACACAAGGGGACAAGTTTTTCCTTACGTAGTTAAATTATTTTTAAGTGCTTCTTTAAAAACTCACTTGAGCTGTGCTGACAACTGCCAAAGTATTGAGCTGTTACAACAAAACGGCAATGCCACGTTCAGCATTAAACTGAGGCAGTAGTACAGAATCTGCAGGTTTTGCCGACATACTTTTTCTTCTCAGAATTTAGTAAACGAAATCTTAAGCAAGTTGGCAAGAGGCAGTAGAACAGGCAAAGCAACAAAAGAAATACCACATCCAATGCAAAACACTAAAGACCCATAAGAATGAAAACCACTAAGTAATAGTATTATCTCAGACTAAACAACTGCATCAAATTAATTCCAGAATTATCTCTACATGCTAAGTAACATCTTGAAAAAGAGAAAGAAGAATCTGCTCAGAATGAGATGTTATAATGACAGTGTACAAAAATCGAAGAAGTTTCATGCATTAATTACTATTTCCACTTGAAAGTCTGCATTTGTCCTAACCCCTAGAACCAGATCAAGCTGAATAAAAATAAACAATTCTGGTCTCTAAATACTTTTTCTTTTCCCTTGTTACTTTAAGGAAAGGGACACAGAAGCACAAGTGAAATCAGACAAAAAGAAAGAATATTACAGAGTTCTACTCTTGTTTCCCCAATTAAAAAAAAATAAAGAAATTCCATAAAATGGAGGGCAATGAAATTCCATGTTGGTAACGCAGAACTATTTTCCATGAAATTCAAAAAGTTAAAAACAGTGTTACAGCACTTTTCTAGGACTGAAGAGTCTCACTGTTTTGTGGACAAAAAAGGTATCGGCAGTTAACCAGCTGAGGCAACATTTTGGTAGTATTAATTTTCATGCTTTAGGACTTAAACCAGCATTTATAAGAACAGAAGTCACAATAAACCCTGTCATAAAGCTGAATTCTTAACACACTCCTCTGCAAACTTAAAGGTGGTCAGTGCTAACAGTTGAACAGGCTCATGGTGTATTTCGTCAACTACTATTCTCAGCCCACTCCACCTGGATTCTAAGGCAGCAGCATGAACCAAGCATTTCTATTAAACTATATGTAAGTCATACTGTCAGTTATCAGTGTAAAGCATGAGCAGGCTTATGTCACTTTTAGCTGTGAGATGTTAAGAAAACAGTAAGTCTTACCCCTTTCTTTCCTGGAATAGCACACTCCCAGTTCATTAGATTCATTGTGCCATCTGGATTTTTTGTAGGTACTGCTACAAATCCCTGAATTAAGGCAAAAAGCCAAAGGGTGACGATTTCAGAAGATGTACTTAGAATACTTCATTACATACTTTATCATTACACAGAGTTATTTCTTTTTGCCCCACATAGTTTTAAGCACCTTTTTAATTTAAGAAATTAAAAAAAAAAAAAATCACATCAGAGTAAAGAAAAAAAATCATCAGAACACCGTAACTGCAGAGTCAGAATCTGACAGTCCTCATACTTACAAATGGATGATCTTTTCTCCAGGCTTTTCTCTCCTGTGCAAGTCTGCTAAGAGCTATGCCAGACATATTCAGAACCCCTCTAAAACAAAGATAACTGCTTTTAGTATAAACTTTTACTTACAGTGTAAACAACACATTATATTATCTGTTTATAAGCCCTGCTAACTCAGGAAATATTTTGGCCTCTGATTTTTACTACTATAGCCAAAACACACATTTCCGTACACCCTCAGAAGGTAACATCAAGAATAACATCGTTTCCCCATGTCAACCACCTCTTAGTGACTGGACATGACCTACAAAATATTATCCTCAACCTGTGTTTTATATTTGAACCATATCTTGGAAGTGACTGACAGTACCCTGACAACAGAAACACTATTAGTAATGGGAAAAGTGCTCAGACTTCCTACTTGTGCAACTGACAAGTACATACCTATCTCCTACTACACCACAAAAGGTACGGCTTGCACCTGTGGGCAAACACCTGTACTGCTCCTGTTTCTGGCAAACAGGGGAATAAGAAATGTTATTTTTATCCTATAAACTCCCATTGAAGGCCAGTATTCTACACAAAAATCACCATGGCCACAGAATTTAACAAAGTCACCTCAGTTTTGCAGTGATGCCACTACACAACTTCTAGACAGCATCAGGGACAGCAATCCATAACTGAGCTAAGGAAGAGCCAGCAGCCCACTCATTCCACAAGGCAAGTTTTCAACTCCAGTATAAACTGACTGCATCCTCTTCCTGCACTTTCCCTGCCTTAGTAACAGCCAAGCATGGTGACTGAGACTGCAGAAGAAACACATCAAGCCCAGGTTGCTACAGCATATGATGCAAGAACAGTTCTAGACATGATGGTTGCAACAGAGCAGTGCTTTCAAATTCAGGGGAGGATTCTCCATTCACCCAGAACAGTAGTCAAAGCAAGAGTTTATTTCTCAAACTGTATCTAAACTCAGGGTTTCACTAGCCACATGCTCAAAACCAACTCCAGAGAAGGTTTTTAATCCTCCTCTAGTGCACTTCTACCCATTTTAAGTAAGATACTTGATACTTGGCAGTTGGAGAAGCCAGGCCTATTTGTTCTCAACTCCGTAAGTAGCTAAGAAGCCTTTATGACAGCCAGGAGAGTACAATTCTTCCACTAAACAAGCTCACAAAATTAATGAAAGGAGTGTTACCACTGTATTAAACATTTAAACACTAGTTAAGAATTATGCAAAATTTGCATTCCATTAATATCTAGATTACTTGTAAGAGTATTGCCATCTACTACTATTAACAATATGAATTGCAGCTCACAAAGATCCTTGTTTAAAAAAAAAAATCTCACATGTTCATGCTATGCCCTTCAGCATGATGTTCACACTAGAAAGATTTACCAGGCACAGGCCTATTCCATGTAAGATACGTAGACACGTTCATTTCATGTTCATCTGCTCTACCCTTTAAAGATTAGAAGACAGCATGCTCCCAGTTTAAGTATTTACACATCATCAAAAGTGGCTTAGCAGTACAGCACCAGATTAATAGTTTTATTGCAGTTCCTAGGACAGCTGGTATTTCATATCCCTCCTCCTAGCTTTTCTTCAAAGTCAGTTTTTTATGGATAGCCATAATCCATAATTTCAACTTCAACTAGCAATTAAATTCACATCAGATAAAACTTTTTAAAAACACTCGGTAAACACGCACACAAAAAATCCTATATTCAGTCCAATATTCCCCTAGTATTCCCAACACATGCATCTGTATCTTGATTATGTCAGAACATTTGCAGGACTTAACACAAACTGTACATACCACTTCAGATTTTAGTCCGTTCACACTCAGGAGATGTGGAGCCACTGAAAAAATACCATCAGAACAAAAAAGCCTCTCCCTTAATCAAATTATACAGGGAATAATTTAAAATATTTTGTGAGCCCATGCCCTTGGCAAAAGATGTAAATGAATATAGTGAATATACGGCAGAATTTCAGTTGTGCTGTTAGTACCTGGTGGTCCACTGTAATAATACTCATCTCACCATGATCATTTGAGAAAATTGAGAAAACCATTCAAATATTCTTAGACAGTAACTCAGCTACCTTTTCTGCCAAGAAACATATTACAGGATGCTTCCAAACACATGAATTATATTTCCTGTGGCTAACAGCCAATTAATTACATGCACCCCAAGGGAAATGTCAACTTCTCACAAGGCATATAAACAACGTATGTCCTACAGAACACCACCAATCCAATGAGTTCTCAACAGAGGAACCCCAAGCTTTCAGGCTCTATATCCTGTTTGCTTTTGCAACGGGTTATGCACTATACTGTGTCCCAGTAAATTAAAGATTTTCTTATGTTCTACAAACACCTTTTCAAATCTTGAGGCATCTGACTTAGTTAAGCACTAACAGACGACACCCAAAATTTCAGTGTACATGGTCTCCACAGACTTCAGTTACCCTGACAGGGGCAGACAAGCATCTAAAACCTCATCACAAACTACTACCAAGTAGAGATTACAAAGACGACTGAAAGCCTACTTCAAAAGATCCAGTTAGGTAAGCACCTCGCAAAAGCAAATCAACCTATTAACAAATTGCCAAATACACTCTCTAGCAGCTCTTCAGTAAAATAATTTTAGTTCTGCTGGAGGCTGACACAGGGCAAACAGAGATTGATCACATTGAAATATATACTAATCTCAGAAATTATGGAGTAGCAGGAAGGAGTAAGATACTAAATGGGTATTAAACCTGAAGATATATTCTCACTGGCACTTTTACCTTCTTCAGTAATTTACATGCATGGTTTGTTTGGGTTTTTTTTCCTCCCTCTCCTTTGGAATAGTAGTTTGCCTGAATATCCGTATGTTAACTTTAGCTCTTGTAAGCTTCTGAAATACCTCACAAATGCAAGACTTCTCAATTAACATGAAGTAGTTAAAAAATAAAAAACAAACCATCCCCACAAACACCACACAAACAAACAAAAAACTCCAAACACCCCAGTTCTTAGGATTTTAATTTGTTTTCTTCACCCGAGAAATTTACTGCTAACAAACAGAACTGAAGTCCCAAGACATTTTTGCACTACATCACTGGAGGGAACACAAGCTTTTGCACCAGAGGAAGTTTATCAACCTTACCTTGCAGGGGTCACACAAGCCTAAGAGACCAGTCTTCACATTTTGTTTGGTTTTAATCCCCCCAAAGACACCTTGACATTAAGAGGTAGCAATGTCCCTTTTACAGCTATCAACTAATTACAAAGTTAACAAAAACTTCCAAATTTACTCAGTAGCTTGCCTCTACCACTATTACTACTACCTGTTTTGGAAAAAAGGACAAAACAAAACCAACTCACAGGCAAAGACTCTGTGTTCCCCTACAGATCATTTTACCCGGGGTGGAGGGAGAACTTATTTCCAAACACAAATACCAAGTCTTGCAAAGAAGCCTTCCTGTGCCACAGAACAGCAGTCACGCCCGCAGCTCTGACCCATAATAAGTCTCTAAATACATCAACACCATGCTCTTTAAGTCTCAAGAGCTTTCAATAGGTCTTATTAATGCCAAAGAGCAAGAAAAAAATCATTAGGATTGTTAGCCTCACATTTTTACTGTGCAAGTTAAATACTAATACAGGAAGAAGTTATCAGTTGGAATAGTTTGCCCCAAAACTACACAAATTTTACTTTTCAGGAAGGTGGAGAAGGCCAAGGGCTGAGGTTTAATCAACGTATGCTAACTCTGGACTGGAACGGAAAGCCTCCTCCTGCCTGCGGCGTGAGAAAGGTGGAAGAGGCGGTACTCGACGAGCGGCTAGCCGAGCCACAAGGAGAACAACAAAAGGAACCGCACGGCAGCGGGTCTCGGTGCCCGACCGGCCAAGTAACTTGGCCAGGAGCAGCCGCGGCAGGGCCGAGCGCTGCCTGTGCCGCGGGGGTGCGCAGGGACTGGCGGACGGATCGCGCGCAGGATCGTCCCGCGTAGGGAAAGCATG